ATCAAGGATATCATCATAAAAGGCCTTGTGATCTGTAGTGATGTAGGCCTCGGCTTCCCCTAAAATATCTTGTCCTAGCAAATTGGCAGCAAGGCCTGGAACCACTAGGGGACAGACTAAAATCTTAATTCAGATTATGTCATTCTCTTGCTTAAAACCCTCCAGTGGCTTCCTACTGCACTTAGTATTAACTCCAGCTCGGCGAGCCTGTATGATCCGGCTCTTTCCCACTTCTCTCCCCCCTCCCTTCTTTCCAGTCACCCATCCTTTCCTGACTCAAGATCCTGCGCTGATTATTCGCTCTTCCTGGAGTGCTTTTTCCCAGCATTTTGCTCATCCTTTAAGCCAGCTCAAACGTCACCTGCTCTAAGAAGCTTTCCTGGACCCCCCTCCCTTCTTTCCAGTCACCCATCCTTTCCTGACTCAAGATCCTGCGCTGATTATTCACTCTTCCTGGAGTGCTTTTTCCCAGCATTTTGCTCATCCTTTAAGCCAGCTCAAACATCACCTGCTCTAAGAAGCTTTCCTGGGCCACCCTTTCTAAAATGGCCTGTCTCAATGTCTCTCTCTTTAATTCACCGTTGTGTTTATTTTCCTTAGAGTACTTGCCACAATCCGCGATTATCTTGTTTGAGTATTCTTGTCTCCCTCCATTAGAATGTAAACTGCGAAAAAGTAGAGATCTTGTCTGTATTTTCCACTTCTGTGTCCCTGGGCACAGGCTTGGCACATAGTAGGTGCTCACTGAATACTTGTGAATGCGAATGTTTAGTCATCACTCTGCGTTACAGTCTAGTATTTACGTGTCTGTTTCTCAGACTTCCTCATGAGCTCGTGTATTGCTCTGTATCTCTGGAATCTAGTGTCCAGGCCTGGCACACAGTAGGCTGTCTGTAAATATTTGTGGAATGGATAAAGGAAAGTGAAAGGAACAATCAAAGAAAGCTGGGAAAAATCCTGGAGAGAGCAAAGTCGAGAAAACCCAGGGAATGAAGTTCAATTCCAGGTCAGAGCGGTGATGTGACTAGTTTTGGCTCATGCACAGTGTGGAACCAGAACTAGGGCCATGGGCATCTCCATGGTATGGAGGGAAACACAGGTCAGGATCACACTTGAATGTCCCAGGTGAGTTTTTCCGATATCCTCCTGCTCTTTCATCTGCCTTGTGTCTCCTTGCAGGAAGGACGTTCCCCAAGAAGGGCCAGACGTGTGTGGTGCACTACACAGGTAGGCCTCACTCCCTCAGCCCTCACCCAGGTCTGCCCCTCCCAAGACAGCACTCTCCTCTGAGCTCCTCTCTAGAGGTGTCTGCCCCTGGATCAGGCCTAAAGCCCAAGGCAGGGCTGCCCGGTTAGCTCATTTGGTCAGAGCACAGCCTTATAACACCAAGGTCACGGGTTCGGATCCCCATACCGGCCAGCCACCAAACAAATAAATATTAAAGCCCAAGGCAGCCGGATCTCCCTTGACCAGCTACCCCCACTCCTCTCAGCCTGTCTGTAGGAGTGAGAATGGGGATTTGCAAGGTCATCTCCTCCACACTTAGACCTGCTAGGGCCATCCATGGTGCCAGCCTCTAGTTGAGTCAAGCACTGCCAGTCCCCTTCCCTCTGTTGCAGGCAGGGTGGAGCCCTGGCCCCCCTAGTTCTGTTTGACATTTGGAGATCCCTGTTAAAGCTCTGAGAGCCCTGAAACTCCCAGCAGACTGCCTTTTCATCATACAGTCATTAGAAAAGAGGAGGTTGGCTTCCTCAGAATTTCCTCTCTCTTTTCAGAAGTAGACTGTTACTGAACACCTACTATGTGAGATGCTGTGCTGGGAACTGGGAGCACAAAGATGAGAAGGGAGGATCCTACCTTCATTGGGACTGTGGTGGGGGGTGGGGAGAGGACGGACAAGTCCCTGGAGGCTCCACTGCATTGTGAGGGCTGGGGCGATGGCAGTGCTTGTCTCTGCATACTGGTGGAGCCCAGAGGAGGGCTTCATATCCCTGCTGACCCTTCTTGGATGCTCTGTATCTGAAGGTGGGCTGAGGCACATTCTAAATGAGTTCTTCAGGACTGCTGGTGGGGAGATCATGAGCAGGTGTTTGTTCCAAGGGAGATGAGCGCTCTGCCTTGTGACCTGCTTCCCAATGTGACAAACTCAGTGACAGCCACTTAGCATACAGCAAGGTCAGTTTAATTCCTGAGACATACTCAGATGAGGCCATTTTTAGCAATTCTGTGGGCCAGTGTGAAGCACCAGGTTAATTCTAGACAGACGGTGCAGATGTTTCTCAACAGTTGTGTTGCTGGGCACTGACGTCAGTGGGCTGGAGCTGTGTTTTATCTCCTAGTGATGTGGCCTAATTACCATGGGTCCTCTGGGGCCTCTGACCTGTGTAATTGATTTATCTGTTTTACACGTTGTAGACAGACCAGTATTTATCAAGTTACTGAAACCACAACATCCTTTTGCAAAGTCTTTTCACAGTACATACACAGAGCAGGCGATGTGCATAAGACACTAATACCAGCTGTGCGCAGCTCTGGTTTGGGGAGAGACTGTCTTATCAAACACAGCAGGAGTTCCAGTAAACTTTTTTATTAAATAGAAATACAGTAGAGAACATAATCTAAGATGTACAGCTCAATGAATTCTTTCAATGTGATCACACTTATGTAACCACCACCCAGATAAACTAAGAACATTACCAACACCCTCAGAAGTCTCCCCCCTTCTTTCCCCAAATCATTCTACCTCCCTAAAGGTAAAAGTAACTGTTATTCTGACTTTTGTCCCCATGGATTGGTTTGCTTGTTTTTGAACTTCATATAAATGGAATCATAGAATATGTACTTTTTTGTGTTTGGCTTGTTTCACTCAATATTATGTCTGTTGGATTTATCCAGAGTGGTTTGTTCTTTTTATTCCTCTACAGTATTTCATTATATGAATATACCGCAATTTATTTATCCTTTCTACTGTTGATGAACATTTGGGTTGTTTATAGTTTTTGGTTTTTATACATAGTGTTTCTTTGAACAGTCTTGTAGATGTCTCTTAGTGCACACATATATACACACATAGGAGGATACTTCAAAAAGTTCATGGAAAACTAGAATTAAAAGATAATACAAATCCTTCCATGAACTTTAAGTACCCTGTGTGTACATGTTTCTGCTGGATATATAACCCAGAGTGGAACTGCTGGGGTTCAGGGTTATGCTAATGCTCAGCTTTAGCAGTCCTTCCGAACAGCTTTCCAAAGTAGTTGTGCCAATTTCACTTCCACCAGCAGTGTAGGAGAGTTCAGTTACCCAATGTCCTCATCAACACTTGGTATTATCAGTTTTTTCTTTTGTTTTGTTCTGGCCTGTTCTGATGGGTGTATGGCGTATCTTATTGTGGTTTGATTCGCATTTCCCTCATGAATAATGAAGTCGAGCACCTTTTCATGTTCTTACCGGCCATCTGGTTATCGTCTTTACACTGCTCAAATTTTGTTCATTTTTAAAAATTAGGTTGTCTGTCTTTTTCTTATTGGTTTGTAGGAGTTCTTTATGTATTTTGGATGAGTCTTTTGTTGGCTATACCTATTCCAAACATCTCCCACACTATGGCTTGCCTTTTTACTTTCTTAATGGTATCTTTTGAACAGAAGTTCTTAATTTTAATAAAGTCCCACTTATCAATCTTTTCCTTTATTCTGTGTCCAGTTTGAGAAATCTTTATCTATCTCTGGGTCATGAAGATATTATTCTATTTATTATCTTGTAGAAGCTTTATTATTTTATCTTTCATGTTTAGGTCTATGATTTATCTGAAATTTATTTTTGTATATGGCTTCAATAGAGGTTAAATTGCATTTTTTTCCCATATGGTTATATACCGTTCATCCAGCATCTTTTATCGTGTGTGTGTATGTGTGTAGGGCTGGCTGATACAGGGATCTGAACCCTTGACTTTGGTACTATCAACACCATGCTCTAAGCAGCCAGCCCCATCCAGCATCATTAATACAAAAAAATCATCCTATATTTTCTGAATGGCAATGGCACCTTTGTCAAATCAAGTAACCATATATATGTGAGTCTGCTTCTGGACTGACTGAATTTGTAGTAATAGATAACTGTATATGATCTGAAATAGATTAAGTAACATGAAACTCAGAGAAAATGGGGAATAAAAATGTCGGTCTAAATGGAGTGCGTGAGGGCCGACCCCGTGGCTCACTCGGGAGAGTGCGGCGCTGGGAGCGCAGCAGCGCTCCCGCCGCGGGTTCGGATCCTATGTGGGGATGGCCGATGCGCTCACTGGCTGAGTGCGGGAGGGTTGCAATCCCCTTACCGGTCACAAAAATGGACAAAAAAAAAAAAAGAAAATATCTTTAATGGGCTGGCCCGTGGCTCACTCGGGAGAGTGTGGTGCTGATAACACCAAGGCCATGGGTTTGGATCCTATATAGGGATGGCCAGTTTGCTCACTGGCTGAGCGTGGTGCTGAGCGTGGTGCTGACGACACCAAGCCAAGGGTTGAGATCCCCTTGCCGGTCATCTTTTAAAAAAAATAAATAAATGGAGTGCGTGAATGTGTGAATATACGTGTGTGCGCATCCATGTGCGTATTTGTCCAAGTATATGTCCATGTGAACGTATGTAGATCTGTGTATCTAAATATTTTCTTAGCATCTGTTTGGCCATCAGGGTTTTTCTCCTGAGTGTGTGTGCATGTGAGCATGCATAAGTATCTCTTTGTGTCTGAATATCTTAGCAACCTGTGTGTATGCATGAGATTGTATTTGATCTCCTTAGCATCCATCTGTATGTATCTCTGTGTAGCCAGAAGGGTTTTCTTCTTTGCTTCATTTAGTACCAAGGGCAAGAGCCCAATTTATTCTACCCAGAAAGTAGGTAAATAAGACTGTTTGGGTTTTTTTGGCAGCTGGGCGGTACAGGGATCTGAACCCTTGACCTTGTTGTTAAAACACTGTGCCCTGACCAACTGAGCTAATTGGCCAGCCTAGGACTGTTTCTCTAGTATACATTAAGTTGTAGGAATTATGAGGTGGAATCATAGTTTGCCCAGCCTGCTATGTTAAACATGGCAACTCTGGGGCCTAGAGAGAAACGGCGATTTGCCCAACATCATACAATGAGTTAGAGCCAGAGTGAAGTCAGAACCTAGTCTCTAGACTTACAGCTCAGGTCTTTCTCTAGTCCCAAATTGCCTTTTGTGGTGGTCCAGGAGTTGGAGAAAGAAGTCATGTAATGACATCATTTACAGAAGCTCTGATCTTTGAGTCAGAGTCACCAATTAGAATTGAAAATAGGAAAACAGCTCTTGAGCCTTGTGCAGTGTAGGCATTTGGATTCTGCTCTGGGGGGGCTGATGAAGTGTTTTAAGCAAGAGAATAATATGAGCAGATTTGTGTTCAAAGAAAAAAAAAATCAGTTTCTGGGTGCAGAGTGGAGAATGGAATGGAGATGTAAGAGAGGAGCAAAAAGATCAGTGGGAGGTTGTTCCTATCCCCAGGAGAGACACAGTGGTGACTTGGTGAGACCCCAGGGTGGTGGTAATAGAAATGGAGAAAACAGGTAGATTCCAAAGACAAGTAGGATTGGTCATAAGCTGTAGGTGGGAGTGAGGCCGAGGGAAGTGTCCAGGTTTCTTGCTTGGGCAACAGGACGAATAGGAGGATTGGAAGAGGAACAGGTTTATGCAGAACAGGAATTCCATTTCAGACATGTCGAATCTGAATTGGGAGTTAACTCATGACTGCAACTCTTTTCCACTGTATTCTTGCTTGTTGACAGGGATGCTCCAAAATGGGAAGAAATTCGATTCATCCAGAGACAGAAACAAACCTTTCAAGTTCAGAATTGGCAAACAGGAAGTCATCAAAGGTTTTGAAGAGGGCGCAGCCCAGGTAAGATGAGGATACTCATTAAAGGGGATTTGAGGAGTCGGGGTCTAGACTCAGCACTGTGCCCTCTACCCTCACCCTGTCAGAACATTGGTGCCTTTTTTTTTTTTTGGCTTCTGGCTCATACCCTTGACCTTAGTGTTGTAACAACTGGCCAGCCCAGACCACTGCTGCTTTGACTCTACTGCCAGGGCATGGTGACGCATCTAGGGTTCACTCCTGGCTTTGTGTCCCCACCCCCTTCGTTGCCAGCATGCCTCTTTTGTGTCACTGGAGGCTCTCATCCCAAACACATCCCCCTAGGCATGTTTGGAACCAGCTGATGAGGGTTACCAGCTGTTTGGACTGTGGCAGCAGCAGAACTGGGATGGGGTAGCACAGGAAGGTTTTTTGTTTTAGTTTTTTAACTTTTTTGGAAACAATTTCAGACTTAAAAAATATTATAGAAATAATACTGAGTTCCCATATACTCAGCTTCCCCAAATGTTAACATCTCTCAGGGCTGGCTGGTTAGTTATTTGGAAGAGCATGATGCTGGTAATATCGGGGTCAAGGGTTCAAATCCCTATACAGGCCAGCCACCGACAGGAAACAAAAAAAAAGTAAAAGGGCCGGCCCGTGGCTCACTCGGGAGAGTGTGGTGCTGATAACACCAAGGCCACGGGTTCGGATCCTATATAGGGATGGCCGATTGGCTCACTAGCTGAGCATGGTGTTGACAACAACAAGCCAAGGGTTGAGATCCCCTTACCGGTCATCTTTTAAAAAAAAAAAAAAAAAAAGTAAAAAATGTTTACATCTTACGTAACCATGGTACAATCGTCAAAAGCAGGACATTACCATTGATACAATACTGTTAACCTATCTATTCAAATTTTTGAATTTATCATTCAAAATTCAAAAATTTATTTAAATCTCACCAATTGTCCTACTAATGCCAAGCAAGTTCTTGATGACTGCTGTGATGAGTCCTGGTTCAAGCGCTCCTTCCTTGGTCAGTCTGTGAAGTCATGTGAAGCTCAGTTAGAGTGGGTCTCTTAGCCCCCACCACCTTGCCATGGCCTCTCATCTCTGAGCCTCTTTAATGAACTGCTCCCTCCACTTGCTCGAGTGTGTACATGTGCTACTTATACACCCTCTTTAGGCTTCTTTGGAAGAGGGTGAGGAAAAATTATGAACAGATAGAAGTGTTTGAGCCATACACAAATCGAATAACCAATGGTTGTCAAATGAATGAATTTGAGACTACTTTGTAGAGGTTATTGTCTAATTGTCAATTCTCTGCTTTTCTGAGGCAGAATCTGAATTTGTTACAGCTCTTAGCATGAGTTCAATGTACCACGTATAAAATTCATCTCAGATCTTCAGAGTTACCATGAGGATGGTTTGGGAAAATGCCAAAGTCATCTTACTTTTTTCTTTTAAATCAAGCTGGGTCCTCTTTCTCCTCTCCCCATCTGCCCCCACCCCTGCTAGATGAGCTTGGGGCAGAGGGCGAAGCTGACCTGCACCCCTGATGTGGCATATGGAGCCACGGGCCACCCCGGTGTCATCCCTCCCAATGCCACCCTCATCTTTGACGTGGAGCTGCTCAACTTAGAGTGAAGGCAGGAAGGAACTCGAGGTGGCTGGAGATGGCTGCTGCTCACCCTCCTAGCCTGCTCTGCCACTGGGACGGCTCCTCCTGTTTGGGGCTCTTGATCAGTGTGCTAACCTCACTGCCCCTCGGCATTATCATTCTCTCTGCCCAAGTTGCTCTGTATATGTCCACCATTTTGTTCACACACATCCTTGCTTGAGGAAACTTTGGTTGCAGATGGAAACATTTCAGGTTGTGCTTTTTATGTGATGCATGTAGTAGCCATTCTTGAACACAGAACACAGATTTCTTGTTCGCACAATCTACACTGCCTTACCTTCACTTAAGCCAGACATACAAGGTGCTCAGATATGAAACGTACATGGTGTACACAGAGGGACTTGAGCCAGTTACCTTTGCTGTCACTTTCTCTCTTGTAAATTATTGGCTGCTCACTTACACAATGTCCTCTTTGGAAAAATTATGTAAAATAAAGGCTCTGTGCTTGACAAATGCATGTCCATTCTTCTTGTAGGTAGGAAGTGCCTTAAGGACCACACAAGCCAGTTGCCCTTGGGAATTAGACTTAAAGTGGCTAGGAGAGTGATAATAAATATAATAGCAACAATGTGAACATTGTACATGTTGGGCCTTGTTCTATATACTTTTAAGTAAAATCACCCCCAATCCTCTAAGCAACCCTGCAAGGTAGGTATTTTCTGCCACTCATCTCAGAGGCTCGGAACTCTGCAATAACTAAAGGAAGTGCATTGTGTTCAAATCTTGCAGCCTAGCAATCAAATGTGGGATTTGAGCACCTTATGTCATCTTGCAATGTCTATTTGTTTGGACTATGGTAAAAGGGATGAGCTCCCCTCATTCAGATGGAAACAGAACACTTTGTCCATCTGAACAGATGAAGATGTGTTAAGGGCTTGGAGCCATGCACTAACTCACACTGGGAGGTTACTTTTGAAAATGAGTCATTGTGAGCTGGTTTTCACATATGCTACTTAATTTCATCTGGATTTGCTCTAACTTCCTTTGGAGAATTTTTTTTTTTTTTTTTTTAGCTGGCCAGTACAGGGATTGAAGCCCGGACCTTGGTGTTATCAGCACCACGCTCTAACCAATTGAGCTACCTGGCCAGCTGGGAATTATTTCTGAGAACATAGGATTCTGAACTTTTCACATATACTGCTTATTTTCATCAACGTTAACTGTGACTGGAATCCCCAGTTAGGTTTTAAAATTAAAATTAAACCCTCACTTATTGGTGTGGGTTATGTGTAGGTCAGAGGAGCCTGGGGCAGTGTGCTAAGAGATTTTTTTTTTTATTTGGCATAGGGTGAGAAAAACTCTTGGCTGTAATCACCGTTGTTCTGTCAGTGATGACTTGGAATTGTTACAAGACTGAGGGAGGGGCTGGTAATAGCACTGTTAAATTTCCTTCACAGACCCACTGATACATCATGTCACATGATGTCATATATGAGATGCAGAGCCATGTCATCTTGGCTACTTCATCTACTCCTTGTTTCCAAGAAGTCCTGGCTGTATTCTTCTGCTGAGGGCTGAGGAGTTAATAAAGAAGCAGTACTATAAGATGGAGAAAATGAAATGAGAAAGGGGCTGCCTTGCTTTTAATCACCCACAGTCCCTGTGCTCACTGCCACCTTGGGACCAGACCAGCCAGAGGGTGCTGTGCTCATTCCTCTCTGGGGTGTTTCCTTCAGGATGTCTTGGTTCCCAGCTTTCCTTGATGACTCAAATGCCTAAGATAATTTCTCAGAACTCAACCTGTATAAAAGACATACTTACAGTTTCTGCTGCTACACCAACAGAATAACTAAAAATGGCACCAAGAACTATTTCAGGTGCCCACTATGGGACACACAGAAGATCTCAGTCTAGAATGTGTACAGTCTAAGTGGTAAAAGGAAACACTAAGAGAAACCCCACAAAATGAAAATGCTTACTGGCTAGCACCTGGAGAGGATATGCTAGCTTTGCAAGTAGACCAAGAAATGACCTGTTTTACTGGAGCTCTTGAAAGATATATGTGCTAATAATACTGAGGTCAGGTGTTTGATACCTGTACCAGCCAGCCAAAAAAAAAAAAAGGAAAGCAGCTCTGGCATACATGTGTATGCACATAAACACACCTGGACGCATTCATTACACTCTTAAAAGCAGTTTAAAAAACTGAGCTTTGGATGCCTGGTGTGGAGGATCGATCGTAACTTTATCCTCAGCATCTTGGTATAGTACCTGGTGCACAATAGAGGCTCCCTATTTGTCCACTGAGTGAGAGTTCTTTAACTTAACTGCAACAGGCTACAAAATTTTCAAACAATTAGAGGGATGTTTTAAAACTCTTAAGTTTAGGTCATGAAATTCAGCTAACAGATACAGTAACCCAAATGATGGACTGATCTTAATTGCTAATAGAAGGAATTTCCCGTTACTAAAACTACTAAACTAGGGGCAAACTAGTCTGCCTCTTAGACAAATCACACTTTAAAGTCTAATTTTGACTTTCCCCTTACAAAAAACTGTTTTTACATTTGTAAATACCTAAAGGCACACTGTGTATCACTAAAGTTAATAAGGAATTCATAAAAGCATTCACAAGGAAATCCACACCTTTGGTCCTTCATCCACCCACCCTAAGAAATGACTTTCTACTCTCCAGTGCTTTCAAAAAACACTCAGGCATAATTAAAAGTAGGAGTAGATGCTCTTTGCCCATTTAAATGATTCAGTGTATGTACCTTTCAAATTGATTTTAGGTTCTGGCTACACATGAAACAACTAATACATGTTTTTCCATTTGGCCCATGCCTAAACTATAAAAAGAAAATTATAGCTATCTCCTCCCAAACTACCAAGCTATAATGAATGTGGTAATAACCATACTATTTCTATGTCATGGGAACTCATGATTGTGTGAACATTATTTTACTTATGGCAAAGATACATTATGAGCTAAGGTCCAAAAGATACACAGATGCTTCATAACGAAGGGAAAGGCTGCATAACTACAATCTTATCCATGTAACACCACCACTACCCAAGCAGCTTGCTTTCAAATTTCTAACAATGTGGAATAAACTGTTCTAAGGACAAGAGTTACCCATATGTACAAAGGTGTTTTATTAACTGTAAAGCAAGTATTATTCAAATATACAGGCCTGGTTAACAACTGATTGCTGTTACATCAGCTTTTTAAGCATTTTATTCATTCAACCAACATAATGAGCTTTGGTTTCCTCACCTGCAAAATGCAAATACCTACCTTCACTGAGTTGTTATGAAGATTTCATTACTGGTAGACATTCAGTAAACAACAAGACTTTAATGAGCTCCTTTGATGACTAAGCACAAAACTGGACACCAGAGACATTAGGAGTATAAAAAGGTCCATGCTCTCAAGACACTCAGAGTCCCTAGGACCATCTACATTTCTTGATATAGTTTAACTCTTGTTTTTTATTTTGATTTTTTCCTCGTATCAAACAGGAGGGGAAAGTTCAAGAGAAAATACTGACATTTTTTACAAAAGCTACAAGTTTATTAACATAACATATCCTAAGATGTATCAAAGTTTCAAGAAGGTAATTTTGAATCTCAAATAAGAAATCACAATATTCAGTATTAATTAAAAAGGAAAAAAAGGTGGTGGTAATCATTCACAGGTTTTAGTCCACAATGAAAATACAAAAAACAGTGTTTACTTTGGTGGATCTGTGTTGATGCCATATTTCTCCTTGAGAAGCTTCAACTGTTCCTCCTTCTTCTTTGTGTCCATCTTCTGAAATGCCTAGAAATGTGGTAAGCACCAAAGTTAACAGTTACCAATCTCCAGCCAAATGAATTTCACCAATAGTACTAGCCAAAAAAGAAAACTCACAGTACACATTTCCCATCACAGTACAGTTCTACTCTAATTCTCAAATGAGCTCACCACATAATAGGAACTCTGCTATACTTACCCTGTTGGCATTATAGTACAGAACCACAAGGTATCTGTTACAAACATTGAATCCTGATAGGTGATCACATGCATTCTTGGCATCAAAGATGTCTTCATACACCACATAAGCTGTCCCTCTAGTTTCCGGTGTGTTCCCCCTGCACAGTAAAATTGAACTTAATTAAAATACACATTTACCTGAGCATTGACAGTGTAATAACAGAACCATCTTTTAAACCTGTAACTGTCTTTTAAAGACAGTAAATTGAAATATGTTTTATTGAAGTATTTTGAGATCAACCTGAAAACTATTAGAGAAAACAAACATTATGGATACATATGCTGGAATACCCTGTAATTTTTCTTTTTTCCTGCCCAGGTGATGATTGACATAATTTCTTGAATTATGTAATTTTGTTTGTTTTTAAGTAAAATATCTAAAGGTTAAACTTATTGTTATATCAAGAATCCTAAATACACAGCTATAAATGCACTAGCACCAAGCAAAGAATTAGCTGGAAACTTTGTCACAGTTTTCATGTTCACTGTTCTAGTCTTTCCTATTTCTTACACTAAGACCAAATTTTCAATCTTAAACTTTGCACTACATTACTTAGGATGATGGCTCTTGTTAGTGAGCAATGCCTAGAATGGGGAATTCCTTGTTTCTAAACATTTTGATTTTTCTCCCTCACCCTAATTATAGTTTCAATTCTCAAAGAAAAGACAAACTCCATCAATGTAGGAAATAAATGTTTCTGGGCAATATTTTACTAAGGTTTATTAAACCCATAAAAATAAAACCTATTTTGGGCCGGCCCGGTGGCGCACTGCTACAGTGTGCGGTGGCGGCTCTCCAGCCGAGGGTTCGGATCCCACATACAGACCGGCCGCTCACTGGCTGAGCGAGTTGCGGGTGCAACACCGAGGGTTGCGATCCCGTTGCTGGTCCCGGTCTGGTACGGGCACGACACTGAGGGTTGCGATCCGTTGCCGGTCATGAAAAAAGACAAAAAGGAGAAAAAAAATAAATAAAACCTATTTTGTGTGGATGGGTGTGTGTGTGTGTGGGGGGGGTTCCCCTACCAAGAAGATGGTAAAATTATAAATGATATATGGAGAAAAAATCAACCATCATCCTTTATGGCCAAGAAAGGATGTCCTCCAATGTAAAGAGAGTTTAAATAGTTTCTCCCACTTTTCTTAGAAGATTCTTTGCCTTTGTAAAATGCAATATAGTCAGGCCTCTACTTTCACACGTTCATTTTTTTTTTTCCTTTTTGTCTTTTTTTCATGACCGGTAACGGGATCGCAACCCTTGGTGTCGCGCCCGTACCGCGACCGGCAATGGGATCGCAACCCTCGGTGTCGCGCCCGCACTGCGCTCAACCAGTGAGCGGACCGGTCTCTACATGGGATCCGAACCCTCGGCGGGAGCGCCGCCACACTCCCAAGTGCCGCACTCTACCAAGTGCACCACCGGGCCGGCCCCACACGTTCATTTTTAATACAACCCGAACTCATTACACATTACTGGAAAAAAAGGCTGGACTTCAGCCTGGATCAAGTGGAAATGTGCTCGTGGGTAGGGTTATCTGTGAGCTGGGGCAGAATGATGGAAGGTGGCTGGAAGTGGAAGCTGGACCTTGCTTACAAATATGGGCTGCTTCTAGTGTAGGTGCTCTTGACACTTCCTCTCTTCACTTCATCATCTTCCTCTGGGAGATGTAGGGAAGTGTGCAGAGCAGTGGGAGCACTAAACTGCAAGCAGCAGATGGCCATATGCTTGTTAGTGGGGACAGTGGGCAGAGGTCCCACTTAGTTCCTGCTATGGTGTGATAAAGATGGACCCCTTGCCTCCATCTGTGTTCTAGCCACACAGTGCAACTGTGGTATGTTTAAGACTGTGGGCTGACTTTCCATCTGCCATAGTCAATGCATAGGCTCTAGGAAAGGCAGCAAATTCACGGGAAGGGGAGACACTTGCCCAGACTTGATGTAGGAAAAGATTACTGTCTGAGCTCTGCTCAGGGCTTGTGCTTCCTATCAAAGGTGACAGAATAGGTATAGGGTGCTGCAGGTGATTAGAGAGTGCCAGCATAAATGAATGCACTCACACTGTCAGGTTGTGTGGGCCCGATGAGGGATTTTGTAATATTCTTTACTCTCTGTGAATAGTCTTTACTGTTTGGACTTTTCATCATTTTCAAGAATGTATTAGGTATGAAAGTTGCGGACTGCCAAAAGGAAAAAACTTTGCCCCATTTTCCCAAAAATTCCACCTAGTTTTTCCTCTGGAATAAAAACATTAAAAGGTGATCTTATACTTTAGTCCCACGGTGTCATGCATATAGCAAGTACTAATATGCATTTGAAAGGTAGAGATCTACTTTCTCCTATCAGTTCTCTGCCACATACTTTCTCCAGGAAGCTCAAAATAAAAACTCTTTCTTCCTTTTACATCTTCTTAGGAACTGGAATAGAGACAGGCACTAACCCCATTTTAAAGACTCTCCGGGAGAGAGGGAGGGGGGAAGAGGAATGGGTAAAGGGTCATGAAAATCGACTACAATGTATATTGAGAAGTTAAAATAAAATAAAAAAGTAAAAATAAATAAAGACTCTCCATCTCAAGTGCCCTGGCCCTAATTATTAACTTCATACTTTAAGAACCCACATTATATTCTGAATTTTTAAAAGCATGTATTTGGTACCTACTGTGTGTTAGACACTGAGCCAACATTATTTTCTTAATTGGTAGTAAAAATTTAGAGTAGGAATAAGAAAACCTAATCATGTAACTTGCCTCTTGGGCTTCAGTTTCTTCATGTGTCACACAGTGACATCAGGCTATATCATCTGCCCTATCTTACATGTGGTTTTAATAATCAAAAGAGGTAACAAGTATGAAAAAGCTTTAAAAAGTACAAAGTACCAAGTGTGCTATATGCCAGGTAAGGTGACCAATCATTACGATTTGCCTAGGACTGTCCAGGTTTTAGCACTGAAAAGTCCCATGTCCCAGAAAACCTGGTGGTACTGGGCAAACTAGGAAGGTTACTTACCCTAGTGCTAGGTGCCAAGTATGCAATAAAGCATAATAACAACTATGGAACAGGAACAGGAACAGAAAAACAGCTGTTTCTCAATCTATAATTTAGACCCAAGTTCCTGCACCCCAAACCTTTATGAATTTATTGAACAAACATATATTACATTCTTTCTATGTGACAGGCACTAGAGATACAATAGTGGAAATGACAAGCACCATCCCTTCAAGGAGCTTTTATTCAAGCAGGTGAAAGAAAATAAATAAATACAAAATAATTATAGACCATAAGAAATATAATAAAGAAAATAGAGAACTGTGACACAGACTAATGGGAAGAAAGAGAGCTACTTTAGCTAGGGTGGTCAATGAAAAGCTCTATGAAAAGGTGACACTGAAGCTGAGACCTGAAGAATGAGGAGCTAGTGAAAACCACTGTCTTTTATCAAATGCTCAGATAGAGGGACCAGGAGCACAACGGCCCTGAGCTACTCTGTACTCCTCTGAAGATGTCTTTCCTTTATAACTTGTCCTCTTGTTTTGTTTTTCCAAAACATTCTCTACCTTCACTGATTTAAACATCTCTTAATTGAGTACTATCAACAAATTTTATAATGTCTTCATAAATTAATCACAACCACACAATCATTTTCTGTATCATTCATTTATTTATATACATTGGGTGCTAACCAGGTATTAGGCACAAGAAGTGCTGTCAACACAGTGAAAAGAATATATGGTACCAGCCCTGGAGGAGCTCATAGGCTGCCAGGAAGACAGGTGAGTACACAGACAGCAAAATCACATGTTAACTAATAAGATATAAACAGAAGGTGTTATGGGAGCACAGAGAAGGGGTGGCTAACGCACACTGGGAAGGAAATAACAAGAAAGTACTTTCACAAACACTATCTAATTTGATCCCAACTAAAATTTTTTTTTTTTTAAATGACCGGTAAGGGGATCCTAACCCTTGACTTGGTGTTGTCAGCACCACACTCTCCAAAGTGAGCCAACTGGCCATCCCTATACAGGGATCCGAAACCATGGCTTTGGTGTTATCAGTACCACACTCTCCCAAGTGAGCCATGGGCCGGACCTCCAACTAAAATTCTTTTTTTTTTTTTTTTCTTTTTGTCTTTTTTCATGACCAGTAACGGGATCGCAACCCTCGGTGTCGCGCCCGTACCGCGACCGGCAACGGGATCGCAACCCTCGGTGTCGCGCCCGCACCGCGCTCAACCAGTGAGCAGACCGGTCTCTATATGGGATCCGAACCCTCGGCGGGAGCACCGGCACACTCCCAAGCACCACACTCCACCAAGTGCGCCACCGGGCCGGCCCCCAACTATAATTCTTTAAGACAGGTTAGGAAGACTGTATTTCATAGATAACTGAAGCTCAGATAGGTTAAATATTTTGCCCAGTTTCACATGACAAGCAAATGCCCAGTTAATACATGAAACCAGGTCTAACAACCAATCTAGTAAATTTATCTTGCTGCCTCCATGTTAAAAGCTGAAAGGGCACCATACAGATTATCTGACACATGAAGAGAGAAAAAAAACAAAACTCTGAGCAACCTGTCACATGGCTAGTAACAGGGCCAGAAACAGAACCTTGTCACCTGATCCCCAAGTCTAGAATTTTCTGTATAGCATTCTTTGTATATCTAGAACAGGGTTTCTTAATCTAGGGCCCAAGTAATATATGCAAAACGGTGTGTGTGTTCTTCTGTGGAGAGAGTTCGAAGCTTTTATCAAATGTTCAAAGGACTGAGATCACCTAAAAAAGGACAGCTGGTCTATACCACTTTGGTTTTCTCCCGCATCTGAGTACCAATGATGATATATCTCAAGCTCTTTGTTTACTCTCTATAGGCACAGTGATGATTCGAAATGAGAATCCTCAAGATCTCATAGTCAAAAAGCCAGGAAGGAGCTCTCAGGTCATAAAAGAGAATTAAGAAAGAACTATTCGGGGCTGGCCCGGTGGCGCACTGCTACAGTGCGCCGCTTGGGAAGTGCGGCGGCGCTCCCGCCGAGGGTTCGGATCCCACATACAGACCGGTTCCCGCTCACTGGCTGAGCGAGGTGCGGGGGCAACACC